GAGAGCTTGAATGGGAAGTTCTCCCGCATCCAGCGTACTCTCCAGACTTGGCACCGTCGAATTACCATCTCTTCCGATCGATGCAACACGCACTTACGGACACACACTTCTCCAGTTACAACAAAGTCCAAAAATGGGTAGATGAATGGATCGCCTCGAAAGACACCGCGTTCTACCGTCGTGGGATTACCCTGTTGCCGGAGAGATGGGAAAAAGTAGTAGAAAATGGAGGAAATTACTTTGATTAAGGTATTCATTCATCTTCCCTTCGAAACAAATCGATTTTCGAGACGAAAAAACGATAGGAATTAAGTTGAACGTGTTTTAACACCTAATATAATCATTGTGAGTTAAAAACGACGTACTTATCAAGACATCAATATTATACATTATTCATATTTAGCTTTCATTACGTTTCTGTTTTCTTTACCAACAATTTCAACTCATTAAACTCACATGTTATAAAACTACGGCTTTCGTCTTTCACTTTTAATATACCTACTCCTTAAGTATATATTGTATATACTTGTTCATTATATTGCTTTTTGCCCGGTAGCGATTTCTTTCGTTCGAGCCGGAGTATAATCCGATCATTCTGGTAACATTCGTGTTCTTACCTTTTCTGGTTTTACCCGGCGACGTGGGCGAGTCGGCGTTCGCGTGAATCGAGGCCGTTGTCGGGCCAGAAGATAAAGTCGACGACGAGACCGCCGGCGTACAGGACGCAACAGGACTGGCGGCTGCAGCCGGCAGCAGAAGTTTTCTCTTATGGTTGCAGAGCTTGGTCATCTCCCGCGTCTTGCCCTGATCCGGGCTCCAAGGTCGCGTCGCAACCTGAAACAAGAATGTGCATACCACTCGTTATTCGTCTGATCGTATCGCAGCCAGGGTGATGAGCTAACGAGCTAACTTTCAATCATTTCAAACACATAAAGAAAGTCGAATGTGTCTCTCAGAGTTTTGATATTCTCTCGAAACTTAGGGGCATCAATTTAGAATATTGTCTTGGAGGCGGAATATCATCAAGGATTTCACTAAGAATCTTTCATCGGTTAAATCTGACTAACCGGTGTATGGAATGTGGCATTTATTATTCATAGTTAGCATATTAATACGCAGCGTATCCCGCATAAAATAAAGATGATTTCCTTTGCCTCTGTCCGACTTCATTGAGCGGATCACTATAATTGGCGAATGTCGATGCCAGGGTACGAGGCGAAAAGAGGAGAGGTGAGAGAAAGAAAGGAAGACTTAGAGAGTCGATGGCCTCAGACTGACGACGCTCATGAATCTCATGATCGATGCGCGACGCTATGAGCAAAGTTAAAACGCGTCCGAGTTGGAAGGCCGCAGGCCGATGCCCGTAATGGCCGTGCGCGGGCTCCGTGTTACTTGTCAGCTCGGGAGACGTTTCTCAGCAATTTACGACCGCAAACACGATGCCATTACCAGCGTGTCGTAAATAAGATCATACCGCTTGATATACAAGAAATATTCGTTAAACCCGCTGCGCTAAATGTTAATTGTCGTGGAGTTTTTCCGGCAATCGTCGCAACGATCATCGATCGCACGGCGATCGAAGTAACAACGAAAAGGCAGCGTCGTGGCATTTACGGCACTATTTTCAAATTCAAGATTAAGCTGAATTAAATTGAATTATAAAATTGAAAGTTGCTCCGAGTAGAGCAAACCAAATGCATATTTCACGACAGAAACTAATAATATTCGAGGATACACGCGAGGGTGACGGATGCGGATCACTGAATCTTGCCAAAAGGAGACGCGAATTCGTCGCACGAGAGGGTACCTGGCAGGTTAATTAAGAACGGTCCAAATACGGCGACGAGATTATAGCACTTGTGACGATGCGGCGGTCGGCCTTGTATCATCGAGAATCCAACGAGTCGTCGCGCCGATGTAATGACGTACGCACACCAGCAGTTAACTTAATCAGAACGTGTTTTCTGCGACTGGTCTATTATTCATTCCTCTTCTGGTGAGGCGTTCATCAGCGACGATCGCTTTACCAGCTAATCACGCCCACTCGCAAAACCGAGGAGAGAAACGGGGGTCTGCGTTGTGACACAACTCGTCTTACACATATTGCAGATCAAAGATGTACCGTCGTGACAAACACATACCCGGAGGCTAAAGAATTATAATTTACTGCCGAATCGACGAGACTTTTTTTTTATTGAGAAGGAATAGCAATAATTGTGACATCCACCGGAAAGATAAATCTTTTAAGGACAAAAAATTATGGATCATATAAATGAGAAATACCTACAAAAAATTACCGTAGGGTAAACTAGGGTATTATGGCTATATGGAAAAGATGGCCATAGGCTATAAGTTCTCCAATAATTGATAAATAGTGCATTTTTATAGTCGTTCTTAAAGATAATTAATATTTACAGTAGTTTATATGAGTACACTGTTCAAAAGAACAATATTATAAATACTATCTAATATTTTTTCTTTCGACTATCTGCAAAGTTTTGCACGTGTCTGCTAAAAACTGTTACAATGTCTAATAAATTACAGTTAAGCTGCCGTAATCAACATTACACACACAATAAAGGTACGTAAATTGCAATGTGACCTATAATTAATACTTTTATTTTCACTATTTATTTATAAATACTATGGCTATCTTTCTTAATGTCATGGCCATCTTTTCCCTAAAAATCAGATAAGATGGCCAATGCATACTTTGTAATATTTTGATAAAATTAAAGTTCCGTTAAGTATTTTCTCTTTAATTTCGATAGTATTTGTTACTTTAAGCTTCAGTGAAAGTAATATCTTAAATATTGTTAAAAAGTAACAAGAATAAATGTACGTTTTTTGCATTTTAAAAAATTATGGCCATCATATCCGAGTTTACCCTATAAAAATTACTGAGCACCGCAAACGTATACGCGAGATATGGTGAAAAATTAAGTTTTTTTCTCCGTTCGAAAGTCATCCGCATTCTTTGCAAAGCGAAACCGCTGCAGGCATATACCAATGTATCACGCACGAAAATTTAATCCCCTTTTTTTTTATTCACGCTCGCGCTCGGTGCCTTCGAGAGTGTAGTGTTGCGGTTACGTCGGTTACGCCGTGCGATTACACGTATGTGTGCGAGCGAGGCATGTACGCAAGGTGTTTGCATCACTACCTAAATAATCCTCGTCACCGAGAGAGCGCATACACGCTCCGCCGCCGCTTTCCACGGCATTATTTCCCGTCACATGCCGCCCGTTGCACGCGAGGTAATCACGAACCGGCGACCGGCGGCGGAAACCGCGATTTAATCCTTTTTCTCGGACGCAAAATGAGACGCCGTACTGCGACAGCAACGACTTTAATACGATAGCTTTTACCCGTTCCCTTGTGCCCGGATGAACGTAGCGAGATAGACTCTATCTCTTTCTTTCTCCCTCTTGATTAGACGATCTCGAAAGGGAAAATAAAACCGCGCTGCACCGGCTGTAATTACCACGCCAACGAGCCAGCTAGTACACGCAGTGTTTCCACCGGTTTTACATAAAATTATTTTATATAATAGGTTACTGTACCGCTCTATATAATCGGACGTATTATTACATCGGGAGAAAATGAAATTAATACTGCAAACTCTTTGAAATGTCCAGAAACAGATACGTCTGCGATAAAACTTTTTTTTTTTGTTTTCACGTGACTGGCACGCAGAAAATAAAGTACAACGAGTTATTATAAAATGCATTAACACTCTTATTTTTCACATATATAGCAATGATTCTAATTATAACGTCTCCGATAAAATTTAATGGTAATGGGACAAAGAAACTAGTTAGAGACGTAATAAACCTGTTGTGCAATCTATTCGAAGGCATAACATTTAAATCTCCTTATTTACCAATACTAAGATGTTCGTAAATAACGTGCGTTAATTACCCACGTAAAACGAGCCAAGGGGACACAATTCGTGCATGGTATTTGCGCTCTAACATCGTAAACCAATATATAGAGTAACTCCGGTATATACGCCGCACCTATCAAAAACTTAATTTATTAAGTATTATTTACTATGTTGAAAATAAACGAACTATATCAGTAAAAATTTTGTACTGTCTACTACTATGAAAAAAATATTAGAAATCCGAAATATTTAGTTTTCGTATTAAAAAATAAACTTTTTGAAATCTTGAATTTTTGCTATATATATAGATAATGGGTGGGATATATGGCAAAAATGCAAGGGTTTCAACAAACTAAACTAAAAATACGAAAGCAAAGTACTTGTATTTTGCTATACAACATGCTTTACTATTCCGCTACACGTATGTATCACGAAATAACCACTAGATCTTTTACACGCCTTACAGTAATCATATTTTATGTAGATTATAATTACGATGATGCTACTTGTTACACACACAGTGACAAATCGATTCAATTCACAATAATTTCATTAATATTAACAGCAAGAAGCTGAAATTATAACTCAATACACGGAGAGAATTTTCTCTTAGAATTTAGCCTGAAAATCATGATAATAGTGGGACAACATAGTATTTCAAAGAATTGTATATGAGTTTCTTTACTAATATGTGTCATAATAAGATATGTAATATATTTTATTAATTTTACTAAAGAATATAGTAAAATTTCAACATTTTAAAATATGTTACGCAGTTTATGATTCTTTATTATTTTAAAAGAATAAATGCTAAGTAGTTATGAATATATAAAATAGCTTATACAATTTTTACCATACAGCATGATATTTTTAATCTGATTTAGTCGCTTATAATTTTACCATGTACATAGTAATTGATCGACTGTAATCGATATTTATCGGTTATTTTCGTTGTCGAGGGTGTCTCTAGCTACGCTAGAACTTACTCACTTCAAAACATTTTACAATCTGCATTATAATTCTTACTACATCATTTATAAAAAGTCTCTTGTATATTTCAAAAAATCTATCGTTACTGATAATATTTCATTATTGTCAAGTTGTCCCAAGCTTGTTACCAAACATGATGAAATTTGTAATGAATTTTGCGGTAAAAAATAACGAAAAATTCTCTCCGTGTACTAATATAACGTAAAGACATGCAACAGAGTAGTTGCCCCCACTTCTATTTTTTCTGACTTCCGCGGCGTAAATCCCAGCGCGGCGTATATACCGGAGTTACCCTATCCTCGTAAGCAATGCTCGAGCGCATAAAGCCTCGTAGAACTCACCGAGGGTATCCCGTTCTTCGATCGCAAATACACGACGATCTTCACGAGTCTTATTTCAAGAGAGGTAAATCATCGGGTGCCACCACACGTCCGCCAACTCCGGATCTCGGGGCCCCAATCAATTCCACGGGCGCATAGCAAGCGCAGGGCCCCTATTCCTCTCCCGATACGACGCCGCGACGCGCTGACCTCGAGGTCGTTAAATTAAATTTATGCCAGTCCCGTCGCACTTCCCTCCCCTCCCCTCCCCCCACGCGAACGTTCTTGCATACCTATATACCGTACACGTTTATCGTTACCGTGCGACATTACACTGAATTAACGTAACAAGGCTATTAGTCCGCGATTTTACGACTTTAATTGTGACAGCGGGACCAACCACGCTCATTCCCGGGCCTCACAAATTGGCTCTCGAGACAATCGCGTAGGGGCACGTCGTACCGTACACGTCGTACGTACCTGTCAACTGCGGATAATTAAACCCGCGTACGTACGTACGTACGTATGTATATACGTACGTAAATATACGATTGTTCGCAGGCAACCGTTCCCAGGGAATGTCGGCTCACCGGGCTGAGTAACTACGCCGTCTCTTTCGGGTAACAAGTGGCAGCCCA